ACAGATGACGTCATCAATTGTTGTGTTCTTCGACATCATGATGTCAAATCCGATGTGTAGCTACAAGTTTAGAACGTGTAATACACTGTCTACACATACGACATAAACGTGTAAAGTTCTTTTTTTCTTGTTTCAGTTGACTATACTTCAGTATTGTTATGTCACTTGTAACTAAACCTCTTTAATACCTTAAACTTAAAGCTCTGCCAAAAGATGGAGGGCAAGAACACTTAAGAGAATTTAGCTTGAGATGGACAATATCTTGGCACTTTATTAATGATTGCTTATAATTGAAAAGTTGGAAACAACAGGTTGGTATACATGTACCTGTAGGAAATGCAAGATGTAGACTTCAAACTGAAATATGGTGGAATGCAAGGCTTAACTTTATTGTCATTAAGAATATGTTACTAATACAGGATCTTTTCCTTTGTTGGCAATTTAAGATTAAGAAACCACTAAGATATTATCTTTATAATGATGTACTTGTTATATTTGCAGGTTGCTCCAGACAATAAATACAAGATATGGACTGAGGAATCCATGACTCTCTTCTCCCAGCTTGTTTCGGGGAGGAGGTTTAACTGCATGCCTTACTATTTGTCAGATGACCCATCCCTTCCCACTGTAGTTGGATTATTTTTTAATATCCCAGAACAGATTATAAAGGATGGAAATATTGTCCTGCAGCCAGGACCGAAGCAAATCAGTATCCATGAATACATGATTGAAAAGGTTTGAAATGTTCTATATTTATATCAAAATATTAAGATATACTGTATGTGTACTAAAAAAAGCGGGCTTCATAGTGGCTTTGGCGTGGACAAGAATGCGCTGATTCATGAATGCCACTAGAAAATGTGACGCGCCAAGCAAAAACCTCCCTTAACGAAGAATTTTGACATTTTCAGTTTTTTATTGATTCTTATAGAGTTTTTCTTTCTCTTTCATTTGATGTATAACATGACATATATTTCTGTATATAAATATATAAAAGATCGCATGACAAAGACGGAATATTTACTTTGACGTACATGTACAGTGTAGGCGTGCGTAACTGCATGAATTTTCATAATGTAAAATCGTAAAATGACGTAAAGCTATATAATAATTAAGTTGATGATACTTATTATTAAACTTTTTATTTGATTTCCTTAAAAGTATCAACAATTAAGATTTTTTCATTGTAATAATAGAAAATAAACATTCTAAAGTATATCTTTGAGAAACAAAAGACGGGGAGGGGGGTGGGGGGTGATGGACCGAAATGATCGTCAAGGGAAAAAAAAAAAAAACTCATGACAAAATCAAAAATCTTCTCTTCCGCTGGCAGGTCTTCCAATTCATGGCTTTTTAATGCAGTTAGCGGCAGAAATCTACATCACTGCAATAGTAAAAGAAAATAAGCAACATTTGAATTTAAAAAATCCTATTGTGGTAGTACAGACGACACACGTACGACTTCCTACTAGCTTAGGCTAGTGGGATAACCTAAAGCTTATTCAGTAAAGCACAGAGGCCTCGGGTTCGTTCCCAATTAAGCAGAGGCACGTAATTTTCTCTGTCACACTATCAAAGTATTGTCTTAAAAAAAGATCGAGACAGCCCTTAACCCCCCCTACCTACCCCCCACCCCCACCCCGGGCATTAAAAGTCTATACAATACAGAAAAGATAGAAAGTATTGTCATAGTACCTGAAATTTTAAAGAGTGCGACAGGTTGTTTTTCTATCTAAAGGAAAAATAACATTTCTTTTACCACAAAATAACTATTTACATGTTTTAGTTTCGAATGTTTTAATACTGAAGACTTTTTGGCTTATTGAAAAGATATTCTGCACCCAAGAATAAATTGTACTTGTCTCTTGTAGTAGAGTGTGGTCCTTTTCTTCTTCGGGTGTCGTTATGAAATCAGTCTTTCATTCACAAGAAGAACTTAAAAAGTTGTCAAACTTGTTTCCAATGCGTTTGTATAATTCAATAAATGCATTATTTAAATCAAATCAATAAAGATTAGGTGCATCAAAGTTTATAGTGTCCAATCATTATTTCTTAGTAATTTTTTAACATTTGATTCATTTTTCCTGGCCTTCCGTTTCCTATTTTATATTCATGTTTAAATTATTGAAAATAAATATATTTAGAATTATTTTTGCAACTAAATGCATCTGCATACTTTTCGGTGAATCAGCATGTAACACCAATCCCTACCTAATAAAATATATGTATTTTTAAATCTTGTTAAATAAAAAAAAAAATCTGCAATTTATATGTATGAAGTTAATCATGAATTAATTTTGAACCGATCATTGTATATAAGTCGAATAACAAACCACAATACCAGAATATATATGATTCCCACAAGTGACACGTACACTCCACAACTTCATTTCTAGGAATAGAATGTAAGGCTTATACTAAGCTTCACTGTTACCTTCCTGAGAAAGTACATGCACACATTATGATTTATTTTAACCATATAAAATGCTAGTTGCATTTTAGTATTGGTTAAACATGCGTGTTAAAAATAGCAACAGAAAGTAAGAGAACGGGTAAAACATTCTTATCGATCATCGTAAACTGGAGGGGGCATGTCTCAGCTATGGACATTCACGCTTAATTGATTACCTGAACTAAACAAGAACAAGGCACACATGTACAATCTTAAGCTGTAACTTTTGTTATTTTTTTTAAATAATTAATTGTTGTAATTTATACATTTTTTTTTATAAACGAGAAGCTGTACATGTATGAATGGGTTAGTTGATCAAGCACGCAATATTCAAGTCGACCAACATGTATCTTTTTATGTTCGATAAATCCTTTATCTTAGAATATATAGCGATTTGATCATTGACTTAGTAAAATATACATTGTATTCAGATATTTATATCCCCCAACTTCCATATATCTTGAACAAATATAGGCATATTACCACGGATTAATATATTATGCATAGGCGTCGGAACCGGGAGAGGGGGGCTAGGAGGGGCTTCCTCCCTCACTTTTTTTCCCAAAGATAGACATAGTAGACATTTTGGACATTGCTGCGTAGGCTTAGCCCCCCCCCCCCCCCCCACTTTCCATAGACATGTTGCAGTATAGGTTTAAAATGGGGAAAGTGGTGGCGTTTGGAAAAAATTTTGGTACTGGAATTCGAACCTAACCCCCCTCCTCCCGTAATAGGATTTTCGTGTGTAACCAATGCACATTTCCTTTTTTTCTTGCTTGTCAGGTCTTTTTGAAGGTATAAAAAATTCTTATACCTAGCCCCCCCCCCCCCTTTCAATTTGCTTCCGACGCCAATGTTTTGTGCAGATTTGTACCGTACTAATTTTGAATTAAACTGCCCATACATGTACATGTTCAATGCAACTTTTGCAGGAAAAATTTATTGACATTGTTAAAGTTTATTACATGTATACATTTAATAAATTACGTGTAATTGGTAGCAAATTTTCATAATTTGAAACGCATATACATATTCATTTAATTGCGATTTAACAGAAGGAAACAGGCGCGGATCCAGGAATTCAAGTTAGAGGGGGCGCCAAAAGTAGGCAAGGGGTCTGGGGGCCGCCTTGAGGCCCCCAGTGGGTCCAGGGCAAAGCCCTGGTGGGGGCCCAGGGGGCGAAGCCCCCGGAAGCTCCTGGGTTCTAGAGATTTTGTAGGGTAAAAATGAGGTTTACCAAGTAGATATATTTACATTTTCTAGACGAAACTGTGATTTACGTTATCTTTCACAATTTAGGGGGGGGGGGGGCGCGCCGGGTGCGCCCCCCTTAAATCCGCCACTGCGGAAACAAGATTATTATTTTCCAAGGTAGATGTTAAGTCATGAAATGTTGGTAGTAAAGTCTTTGTCGGGGAAATTATTACTACAGGTTAAATAATCCTTAATACTAAAGGTTAAAATAAAATCATTAAAAAGAAAGTCTTTAACCGCTAAAACGTTTAATGTATACTTTCATACTGCATTGATGTTTTAAGTAAAGAAGGCTGAATGAGCACCGGAGACAATACTACATGTACATGCAACAGCCTGATTCAGCGATTTTATAAATGACCGAAATTATGATGTTTTCAGGAATCCAGAACTCCAGAATCTTCGTTAGTACATGTAGATAAACCATGCACAAAATAATAATAGGTGGGAATGTTTTGAAAGTGTTCAAACAAATTGTATGAATTTGTAACAATTTGTATGAATTATAACATTTTAGAGATGTATCATGTTTGCCATTTTTACATTCGGTGTATTGAGTATAACCTCAGATTATGAAAAGGTCGATAAAGATATTGTTCAATCTGTTTAATTCTCAATCATGAAATATTTTAGATAGTGGGACTGTAACTTACAATGTATGCGAGCATCCGTAAATTCAAGACAAAATTTGCACGAAGTATCGAAAGAAATAGAGCAGACACGCGACACAGGAGAAAGGGGGGGGGGCGAATTTTTTCTACATTTTTTGTACAACATGAGAAGGTGTTCAACAATAAAATAAATTGAGAAGCTCAAAAGGTCTTTCTTCAAAATATTCATTTTAAATCGACAGCTAAAACTAATTGCGGAAGAAGCGACCAAATAAAAACTCTTTGTCGTATCTATAGAGAATACTTTTTTTAAAAAGTAAACTTAACTATTTATCGATAACAGTTCACGTTTTATTTATGTAAACGGTAGCGTTAACTGTCCCAACCCAGTTTATACCGTATAAATTGGATAGCTGTTAAATTAATTCCACAAATAAAAGAGAAGTAATTCAGGTCAATTTTCATTGCATCGCTATTTAAATAAAAATACCCTTGTTTAATGCTCCTGTTAAATTGCATGTGCATCACGATGAAACAGCTGGACATTAAATTTAAAAAACTATCTTTAAAAACTTGTTTGTTTGTCCTTTTAAAATGAACCGACTAAAATCTTTTTAAAACTTCCAAATTATTAATTCCGGAATTTTCTCATCCTATCAACACCTTTTTTTTTATTTCAGAAAGTATGCCTTCAATCTTTTTCAACACTGAAAATTTCCGACAAAAAAATCGACCTACCTACCGATGTAATTTTTTTTAACCCGAATAGGGGGAGAGCAAACAGATTTCATTTTAAAAATGGCCCCACGGGAATTTTTCAGCCACCACTGGAAATCTTTAAAAAATACACACTTAATTGTGAAAAAGAAAGATCAAACAGACACTTGACGGAGACTAAGTTTTTAATGAATAAACTACATCAGATTACACCCAAGAATCTGTCTTAGCATATAAATAAAACAACATCCCCTTGTTCTACTGGGAAGAGTTTCTCTCAAGGAGACGTTTTTACGTCGCATTTACCTTGTTGACTTTAGACGCGTCTTTTGACGTTACGTCATAATAGACGTAAGGGAGGTTTTTGCTTGGCGCGTCACAAATCATTTACAGTAAAACTCGTTTAGTACGAACACGGATATTGCAAATTCATAGATATAGCAAAGATATGGATCCCTACCTATATAAATTTAAGGAATTCCTTACACAGATTATAGCAAATTACAGATACAGCGAAGTAATTTCATATGTCCCATAGAGTTCGTGATATACGAGTTCTACTGTACTAAGAAAAGACAAGGCATGAACATGTGTCGCACTAATTCATTATTACGGTAACAACTCTATATCACTGGATTCCACTAATTTTGAATACGCCAATTAATGTACACGTACAGTATTTGATATTTTGGAAATGGCGACACCTGTTAAATTGCCTTATTGATGCAAAACCTTATAATTGGTACATTTCACGCAAAAAAGGCATTTATATTTTTACAGGGTTTGGCAAAATCCATATCATTGGAGGAGCAGCTTCAGTTGTTAAACTGCTCTCCTGTAAAGGAGGAACTAAAAGACAGTCTGAGAAAGGATGGGAAAGGTGTGACATCAAGTGACAGTGAGGACTGCAGGAAACCAAACAAAGACCACACAACCTCTGTAGAGAGTAAGTCTAAGTTTAACATAGGGAGCAGTGTGGAGACATTGTCTGATAGTACACACAGTGTACCACGCTTACCCAAGTCTTCTACTAGGGACGAGAGAGAGCGTAAGACTAAAGCCGAGAAGGAAAAAAGAGAGGCCAGAGCTAAACAGAAACAGAAAGATTCCCAGGACAAATCCCAAGTCAAACTGTCCAAAACAGAAGAGGCTAATTCAAAGGAGGTATCAAAGTCCACAGTAAAGAAACAGCGTGACAAAGATCATGTAGAGGAGGCTTCTGATTCCGCTGGACCTGTGTGTTCTACTCCCAGAGATAGAGACAATGTCCATAACAATCTGAATGTAGAGAAGACACAGGACAAGAGGACAGTACAGGAATCTGCTCAGAATATCACAGAAGTCAAGATACAGAACATGGCCGAGGATTCTGTGTCAGTAAAGTCATTGTCAGAGTCAGAGTGTCTGACTACGACGTACACTGTAGACAAGTCAGTCAATCTCCCCTCTAACATTAATGTAGACATCCCCGGTCTTATGGTGATGCTATCTCATGTTGAATCTCCATCCAATTTTTATGTCCATCTCGTGTCCGAATTGAGTGCTAAAACTATTGATCATTTGCATCTTAGTCTGAATAAGACAATGGAGCAGATGTCTCGGAAGCAGCTACAGAAGATGAGCAAATCTTTCCAGCCCTCTGTGGGAGATTTATGTTGTGTCTTGTTTACTGAGGACAATCAGTATTACAGAGGACTGATAACCCAGCTAGAGATGACCTCTCCCTCCAAGGCCAATAAAACATCAGAAGATCCAGAATATGTTGGAAAAGTTCATGTATTTTACATAGACTTTGGTAATCATGAAGTCGTCCCCAAGCGCAGGGTGTTCCCCCTACCCCAGCAGTACACGGATCTCCCCGCCCTGGCTGTCCACGTCAGCCTGGCCTACATCCAACCCACAGTCCCCAGAGGATCTCCCAAGAAGGAGGTGCAGTGGACAAAGGAGGCGGTGGAGAAGTTCATCTCTATCACAGGGTTTGATTCGGCCATGAGTATGATTATTGTGGATGGAGGAGATATTCAGAAAATGCTGGAAAAGTAAGTGGTACAGTACACATCTTTCAGTGCATCTATGCATAAAACCTCCAGTGTGAGACAGAAAATAAAAGACATTCTATTTTAAAAATTAGAATTATTGAAAATTATGTAGATTTTATATATATGAAGGATAAAGTACGTCAAACTTGATATTATTTGTTCTTGAATTTCCAGTCACCCTCGTGTAGTGGTGGAGATGCCCCCATTACAAGTGTTGTTAGTAGATACCTCTAAGGAGGAGGAGGATGTGTGTGTCAATATGGACCTCATCAGACTGGGTCTGGCCAGGCTGTGTGCTGTAGAAAACCCATCAAAGGATACTACTGCAGATGAAACACCAAATGGTGAAAATCCATCGAAAGACACCCCAACAAGTGAACCACCAAATAGTAAGTTGTGGTTTTATATTTGAGGCTAGCATTCAGTTTTGCAAAATGCTACTTGGTACCTAATCAGATTGAATAAGAATGCATTCTTATTTGATTTTAGCTAATGGAGTTGTCCATGGTTTACAAAAAAAAAAAAACTGAAATTATTTCAAAATGTAATACATGTATCTGCAGTTTTGATTCTGATTTCAATAAAACTAAACTGCACTGAGAAACATAAATCTTTAATACGTTGTTGTTTATTTCAACATTCTTGCTGTGGTGACCTAAAAATAGAAATTTCACTTAAATTCCTTCCAAATGTATTTCCTTCAATAATTTTGGAGTGATTTCAATAAACAGTAGTACAAACTAACCACACTAAGCTCATTGGAGATATTGATAACATTATTGTTACTATGTAGTACTATGTACCTGTAGTACTATGCTGTACTGTTTTCAGTGACCTCTCCAGATGATATACAGGACTGGAACCCGATGTTGGAGGATTACATGGACGTCAGGAACTCCTACAGGGTGGACGTGGACGACGCCGGAGTAGCCACCGTGGGCATCAGTAAGGACCGTCTTCATTGTTCTAGATCAGAGAAACTTGCAAGTTTATTTTATAGCATTCTTTTGTGTCATGTTTATTTTCTTGTATTGATCAGAGGCCCAAGATGAAAAGAGGATTTGTAGATTTTACCAAAAGAACAAGTGCTGGCGAGGGGATAAGTGTCCATACAGACATGTCATTGTCGCAGAAGGTGAGATGTGTGTCTTTGTGAAAAAGACATTAAAATTGTTAATAGTTCCAGTTTTAACCAAGTTGCAGCAATGCTAATTGTCAAGTGAGTAAGTAGGTGGTCTTCTTTAAGATTTGTCTTATGACAGGTTACTTTATTCTCCATATAACACCCTTAGAGCTATATGTAGACTTTTTTAGCTCACCTGAGCCAAAGGCTCAAGTGAGCTTTTCTGATCAAAATTTGTCCGTTGTCTGTCGTCGTCGTCGTCGTAAACTTTTCACATTTTCATCTTCTTCTCAAGAACAACTGGGCCAATTTCAACCAAACTTGCTACAAAGTATCCTTGGGTAAAGGGGATTCAAGTTTGTTCAAATGAAGGGCCACGCCCTTTTCCAAGGGGAGATAATTATGAATTAGAGAAAAAAATTAATGGCATTTTTAAAAAATCTTCTTCTCAAGAACCCCTGGGCCAGGAAAGATGAAACTCATGTGGAATCATCCTCAGGTAGTGTAGATTCAAGTTTGTAGAAATCATGACCCCCGGGGTTAGGGTGGGGCCAAAATGGCGATCAAAATTTTACATAGGAATACATGGGAAAAATCTTTAAAAATCTTCTTCTCAAGAACCACTGGGCCAGGAAAGATGAATCTCATGTGGAATCATCTTCAGGTAGTGTAAATTCAAGTTTGTTCAAATCATGACCCCCGGGGATAGGGTGGGGCCACAGTGGCCGATCAAAGTTTAACATAGGAATATATAGGAAAAATCTTTAAATATTTTCTTCTCAAGAACCACTTGGCCAGGAAAGATGAAACTCATGTGGAATCATCCTCAGGTAGTGTTAATTCAAGTTTGTTCAAATCATGACCCCCGGGGGTAGGGTGGGGCCAATATGGCTGATCAAATTTTTACATAGGAAGATATAGGAAAAATCTTTAAATATTTTCTTCTCAAGAACCACTTGGCCAGGAAAGATGAAACTCATGTGGAATCATCCTCAGGTAGTGTTAATTCAAGTTTGTTCAAATCATGACCCCCGGGGGTAGGGTGGGGCCAATATGGCTGATCAAATTTTTACATAGGAAGATATAGGAAAAATCTTTAAAAATCTTCTTCTCAAGAACCACTTGGCCAGGAAAGATGAAACTCAAATGGAATCATCCTCAGGTAGTGTAGATTCAAGTTTGTTCAAATCATGACCCCTGGGGGAAGGGTGGGGCCAAAATGGCCAATCAAATTTTTACATAGGAATATATAGGAAAAATCTTCTTCTCAAGAACCATTGAGACAGGAAAGATGAAACTCTTGTGGAATCATCCCCAGGTAGTGTAGATTCAAGTTTCTTCAAATCATGACCCCCTGGGGTAGGGTGGCACCAAATGGCCGATAAAAGTTTTAAATAGGAATATATAGGGAAACCTTTTAAAATCTTCTTTTCAAGTACTTCAAAGCCATGCTTAGTGATATTTATAGGGAATCATCCTCAGATATTGTAGATTCTAGTTTGTTCAAATCATGACCCCCTGGGGGGTTACAATTCAAGCCCTCCCCCCTCAGTAAATTTTTAGTTCTGATTTGATATGTGCTTTTTTCTAGCCAATTGCTCAGGTGAGCGATGTGGCCCCTGGGCCTCTTGTTTGTTAATTCGTTTTATAAAATTAAAAAGTGCTTCCCACTTTTCAAACTTTACCTCTGGGCATTTCTCTCTGACTTGATGTCATTGAAAATAAATATAGACAAACTTTTCAATCTCAAACATTTTGGGATTAGGAGAGGATATTGGGGCTGACATTCATTGAGAAGCAGTTTGACTTCTAACTTATTATGTTCCCCAAACGAAGTTGGGGAACATATTGTTTTTACTCTGTTTCTTATTATTATTATTATTATTATTATTTTTCTTCTTCCTGGGAAAATTTTGTCCACGAGTGATCTTGTAAACTACACATCCGACTTAGGTGAAACCTTTTTAGGGTTAGTAGGCATGTTATGTAGAGTTGCCAAACAAAGGTCATTTTGCGCACACGTGCTTGCAAGAGCGCGCACGTGCATTAGGTGAAATTACCAATATAATGGATATTGCCGTAACTTTTCTATTTTTTGATGAAATTTTTTGAAACTCATAATGTAAGGATACATTAGTAGTATAGACAAGATAGCATGGTCAAAATAGCAAGATTTCACGCGCATGCACGTGCGCTTTGCTCTGATTGCCTGAAACTAAAGTATCAATAACTTTCTTGTTTCTTGTCATAATCCTTTGAAATTTTGAACATAGTCCTACATTATAATGATCTACCGCATGATATATAAGAATTTTCATGAAAGCATGCACATGTGCGCGTGCTGCAAGCTGATTGGCTGAAACTTTAAATGGCTATATCTCCTTTGTTTTCTGACGAAATTCTTTGAAATTTAAAATATAGTCATGCATTGGGATATCCTACAAAATGATATAGAAAAAATATCATGAAATCACGCGCATGCACGTGTGCTGCAATTTGATTGGCTGAAACTTTAAATTGCTATATCTCCTTTGTTTTTTGATGAAATTCTTTGAAATTTAAAATATAGTCATGCATTAGGATATCCTACAAAATGATATTAAAAAAAAATCATGAAATTACGCGCATGCACGTTTGCTGCAATCTGATTGGCTGAAACTTTAAATGGCTATAACTCCCTTCTTTTTCAACCAAACAGGATGGGATTTAGAACATAGATAGATGTAAGGGACTCCTACAGGAAGGTATGATCATCATGCACGTGCACGCACGTGCGTGCATTTGAAACGAGTATATTTAAAAATACTCTTGAATGAGTGATTTTTATTACTTTTGGACTGAATGCTTTAATATATAGTATATTAAAATATATAAATAGTATAGACAAGATGATATGGTCATAACACACATGCATTCACATGCGCTTGGGTGCAATGCTAAAAATTGAATAGAATTGGTATCCTTCTGGGAAAACGTTGTTAAAGTCAAAAATGCACAGAGTTTGTCTTATTTAATGAAGCTTACAGGGAATATGGCACCGAAAGGGAGTTGGGGAGCGTTTGGGGAACATCTGTAACGGTTCCCGTTACAATTAGCACTAGTTTTTCTTGTTTTGGCATAAAATAATAATTTTTAAGATGCCATAAACAGCAACTATTTTGCTTTACCACAGCTGTTTTGGTAAGAAAGAATCTACCTTCATGAATAAGTAAACCGAATGCTCACTGATGTACTGAATGCTAACTGATATATTTTGCTGACAACAGGTGCCCTGACAGGAGATGTGGACTACGTGTACGGGGATGTCATGGAGGAGTACCACCAGGATGAACTTCCTGACCCGGGATCCTGGATTGCCTGTGAGGTGTCCACCATCTTAAACCCTTCACACTTCTATATTGTCCTGCCTTTTGGTAAAGAACCCCTGGCATCTCTAGAACCAGCCAAAAAAGAAGGTATTGCTTGTAAAATTGTAAATTTTTATGCCCCCTTCAAAGAAGGGAGGGCATATTGTTTTGCTGCTGTCCGTCTGTCTGTCTGTCAGTCCACTTAGTTTCCGTTCATTTTCTTCACAACCGTTGCACATACTGAAATGAAATTTGGTATACAGATATATCAGATGAATATCTAGGTCAAGTTCTGTTTTGGGTATGATCGCACCATTTTTGACAGAGTTATGCCCCTTGGACTTAGCAAAATTCCAATAATTTGCAGTTTCCGTTCATTTTCTTTGCAGAGGTTGCACATACTGAAATGAAATTTAGTATACAGATAAATCAAGTTCTGTTTTGGGTACGGTCGCGCCATTTTCAACAGAGTTATGCCCCTTGGACTTAAAAAAATTCCAATTATTTGCAGTTTCCGTTCATTTTCTTTGCAGAGGTTGCACATACTGAAATGAAATTTAGTATACAGATAAATCAAGTTCTGTTTTGGGTACGGTCGCGCCATTTTCGACAGAGTTATGCCCCTTGGACTTAGAAAAATTCCAATTATTTGCAGTTTCCATTCATTTTCTTCGTAGAGGTTGCACATACTGAAATGAAATTTAGTATACAGATTTATCAGATGACTAGCCATGTCAAGTTCTGTTTTGGGTACGATCTTGCCATTTTTGACAGAGTTGTGCCCTTTTGGACTTTGAGAAATTCCATTTTGGGGGGAGGGGGGCATAAGTGTTTTACAAACATCTCTTGTATTTAATTCAAACGTCAGCTCAGCTGAATTAAGGTCTCTCAAGAATATAAAGAAGTGTACATGTACAGACTGTACATGTAATTCTGCTCAGGAATTGCTTCAACTTC